CCTGACCTGCTGCCCCCCACCCCCAGGCCCCAGCTTCCCAGTGTGTGGGACAGAGGGCATGTGGGCATTCATCACAGGCAATACGGGAGGGCATATGCCCCTCCAGGCTTCTGTGTAACAGTATTTGGAGGGAGTGGTATGCTGCCATGGCCACCAAGGTAAGGCACTGTGGTGACAGCGGTGCAGAGTTGTTGGGGGGGGTGTTTCCCTGCCGCTTCTGCCTGCTTACAACACTTATGGTTGTTGTACACCATCACTGAAGGGTATTTGCGTGTCTTAATTGTGTTTTCCAGGCCTTTAACGTGCTTTAAGTTTAGACTTAATGCTGGATGTTATGAGTTTGTAACACTTGCTTTTGGTATCATTGACCATGGCTCCCTCTTCCTGCAGTTTTTGTCTGGGAAACATGGAAAGTACTATCAAAACAGTATTGTTGAGCTATGGCCATGTATTGTCCTGACTGCTGTTTGTGTGTTATATATAACAGTACTAGAAACTGCCAGGTTACGGTTGCTAAATTTTATTAAGTTATTTTAAACAGTTGGGAAGCCAGTGGACATAGCTGAGGACATCTTTTTAACTAATGGAAACATGAAGCTATGTTCATGACCAAGGCAAGCTGCTAGATAGGAGGTGGGTAGAGAGGCATCTTGTAGATCAAAGAAATCAGTGATTTAAGCTTTTGTGAGCCAAATTTTTATCTGATTAAGTGAGTTTGGGTTCATGAAAGCTGAAGTGTCTCTAAATTAGTTGATCTATAAGGTGCCTCTCTACCCTGCCTTCTGGCCTGATTTCAGATAAATACAGCTAACTACTTCCCAGGTCACTAGATGGCACACTTGCTGCACATGAAATTAGTATATGTGGAGATAGCAGCAGTTTAGGGATGATACTGCAATTTCAAAATACACGGAACGTTTCTGGATTCTGGTATTTCTCTGTCTGAGAACAGTCGACTCCGACCCCAATACAGAGCAGTTCTGGCTTGTTCACAGTGCACTGGAGCCACGTGCCTTCATTCTGATGCTTTGCCTTGCAGACAGAGCAGTCATGCAGAGCTCCTCCTTTTTCTGTTTTTTACCTTGTATTCTGCATTTGAGAAGCAGTTGAGAAATACTTTCCCCCCTGTTCTTGCTTCCCTTTTCAGATAAAAGGGGCCTTTGTTATAGGAATGGCCCACAAACAGAGCACCTCCCTTCTGTTTTTCTTCCTCCCTGCCCCCTTCCCAGTAGGGATAAAAAAGGATGAAAGGAGACAGGCAATTTATCTCCCTCACATGAGTGACATAGTTGGATTTTGAAGTAGCCACTCACTGTCATTTTGAGTACGTCTCAGTACAAATGTATACTTCTCAGTACAAATTTTAGCTTGCTCACTGTCCCTTTTAATGCTTCTGTTCTTTTTCAGGAACATTCAGAAGAATCACAGCAGCAGCCACCAGGCTTTTTACGGGAGATGGATCTGATGGTAGTTTTTATACTCTTGAAAGCCTGAGTGGTCTTGTTCAGGCCATGATTCCCACGCATCCATCCTTGGTACTGCTCTGGTGTCAAATCCTTCTTCTCGTCAATTACACCAACTACAGCTGGTGGTCTGAGGTGCATCAGACTCCAAAGTAAGGCTGTTTCATGACATTTGGGGTATGCAATTGTAGGACTGATTCAAGCTATCCTTAGGTATTGCAGTCGGTTCAAAGTTGTTTTTTTATGGAGCCTGTATAACTCTGTTGGTAAGGAAAACATTGTATAAACTTATAACTTGTTAAGTGACATTCTGTTTAGATTTTTACAAGCAGAAATAGTTTGGCATGTTGAAGTATAGACTCAGTCTTTTTAGGATGTTTTTAGGACAGTAAAATCTGTTTCAGAACAAACCAGACATTAAACTCCATAATTGATGGCCCTTCTGGAAAGCTCTGCTAGAAATTTCTCCTGTTCAAATGGAGGATACTCCACCACTTTTGAATACAACTGTTGATATGTACTGAAGGGGCAGTTGGATTCCAGGGCACTTGTACTTGTAGATCAGTATCAGCATCTTAATTTTCCCTCTAACTGGTAGTCAGCCAGTGCAGATCACAGAGGGTAATTTAGTCAGTAAACAGCACCTGTGTGAGTCTTCTATTCAGAATTGACTTGTTTTCACATAGTCTTAGAATATTAATATATCAGAGTAGAAACATTGCAGTAGTTCAGTCTGTGGGTATAGATACATGATGCAATAACTGAAATAACTTACTCCAGTCTTTACTCTGTAGTAAGAAGTAAATATTGCCTACTCTTCCAGTCTATAGCTGCCTGCAATAAATGCTGTTATAGTACCTAGCTACTAGGTGGAAGGGAGGCTGGTTTGCATTGAGCAGATGCCTACCCTGGGGTTTAAAATGATTGGGACAGGAGTGCTAGACTCATTTGGCTCTGGGAAAGGCAGCAGTGGCATTAAATCTTGCAGCTGCTTGAGCCTCTGTTTTTAGTGCGTTTCTGGAATCCAGAGAGGTAACAGTGCTGCTGCTAGCTGCCTCTTTTCCCCTGTGGCTGATTTTTAGTCATTGGGGTGACGAACGATCCTGATTTTGGGCAGAGGGCAAGGAGGGGAAGTGGTTGATATGCAAGTGGTATTAACTCCCTTGGTTCTAGAGCCATGTTGAAACAGCAGCTTCAACAGCTATGGGGATTAATGCTGCTGCTGCTGGGACCCTTGTAACCATGGTGACAAGCCCAGTACATGAGCCAAATCCAGCCTGCAGCGGTGGGTGGTTCAGCATGTGAGAAGTCTTGTGGGATGGATGACCCACCTTGTAGGTTTCATCTGGCCTGTGGGCCATATGTTTGGCATCCCTGGACTCAGGGAACAGGTATACAACATCCCACGTAGTAACTTTTCCACATAATAAAGTTACTACACATTTTTATAAGAGTAACTGATGTACTGTGTCTGAACCTTTTGCGTGACAGTAGTATGGATGATGGGAGTGAGGTCTGTATCTGAAAGAAAAGATCACAAACCTACGCTTAGGCATAGATTTAAAAATAAAATAAAACCAGTCTGCTAATAATCTAATAGAATATCAGTTTAAATATCAAGCTGTGAATGTCACAGCTCTAAGCATGCACTAAGTGCTTTGTATGTGAAAGTATAGACTCAGTTTTGCAGGGTGCTTTTAGGCCAGTAAAATCTGTTTCAGTACAAAGCAGATAATATGCCATAATTAATGGCCCTTCCAGAGAAGTCTAGCGCAATCTTATCCTATTTAAGTGGAGGAGACTCCACCTCTTCTGAATATGACTTGACACGTGCTGAAGCAGGGGCAGTCAGATCCCAGAACCCTTGTGCTTACAGATCAGGATTAGCAACTTATTTTATCCTCTAAGTACTTCAGATATGCACTGTTTGATATTTATACTGATATTCTGTTAAATTAATACTAGAGTTGTTGTTATAAGATGACTGGCTCTGTGGATGCAGGAAGAGCAGTGGATGTGATGTACCTTGACTTTAGCAGGGCATTTGATACAGTCTCCCACAACATTCTCACCAGCAGGCTAAGGAAGTATGGGCTGGATGAATGTATTGTAAGGTGGCTAGAAAGCTGGCTTGATCATCAGGCTCAGATGTCTAGTTAGCAGCTGGTATCAAGTGGAGTGCCCCAGGGGTCAGTCTTGGGGCTGGCTTTGTTTAATATAGTCATCAGTGACCTTGCAAATGGGATGAACGACACCCTTGGCAAGTTTGCAGATGGGGGGTGGGGGGAGTTGGAAGGAGTAGTAGGGGGGAGTTGTAGATACGCTGGAGGATAGGGCTAGGATTCAGAGAGACCTTGACAAACTGGAGGATTGGATCAAAAGAAGTCCCATGAGGTTCAATAAGGACAAGTACCAGCTGGGACCCGCGCGCACGGGCCTGACCCCCGCCCACCCCTCACCTGCTCTGGACCAACCCACCCATGATGAGCAGCAGCAGTGGCAGCTGCTGGGGAGAACCTGCTGCTTGTCATGGACGCCGCTGCTGAGCCCTTCTTGCTGCAGCGACCTGGAGCCTGCACCTGGGCTGCCCTGTGGCTCCTCTCCACTGCCCACTGAGCAGCCCATAGGTGGTGCTGGTGGCAGCGGTGGTCCTGTTTTTGAGCATTGGGTTGTCCTGGATGACCTCTTGAGATCCTTTCCAAACCTAATTTTCTGTGGTTCTATGATTATTAAATCTTTTCCTAATCATAGGGTTCAGGGTTTTGTCTGGCAGATACAGACCTCACTGCTGTCATCCATACTTAACTAAGTGAAGGGATTAATTAAACCTCTGACATTTATTCCTGTTGTTCCCTTAGACAACAAACATTGTCTCTTTTCTCTGTTGGGGGTTTCTCTATTTTAGATGTATTTAGGTGCTTGAGCACTCTTACTGGATGGGGTAGGAAGATTTTGAGGTAGATTTTGTTGTTATATTGATCGTGTCACTGTTGATGATTTTAGCAGCCCCTTTGGAATACATATTGAACAAGAAGGGTGATAATGTTCTGTACGAGAATAAAGAATTAATACAAAGGGAAAGATCTGTTTCAAACTGAAGAAGTGTTTTAAAATGAAAAATTTAAGTATTTGTTCTTATAAAAAATTTAACAGTGGAATGTAATGTGTTTCTGCAGGAGACACAGTCTTTCCAGTACTAAACTGCTCAGTCCTCAGATATCTGGAGACAGTGATGAATCTGATTCAGAATCTAAACTTGGCATGTGCAATCGCGAGATTGTACGAAGAGGAGCGCTTATTCTTTTTTGTGACTATGTTGTAAGTTTAGAACTGAATTTAATTTTTTTTACTTCATTTGGAATCTTAGTTCAGTTGACAGGCTGTTTTTTGTCATTGATATGGATATGGTGATTATTTTAAATGTGAATCGCTATAGGGGAGAAGTGAAAAAATTCCTGGGCAGCTGGCAAATATGTTGAGATATCAGATGCCACTGTAGAAATCTGCTACTTCTTTCTTTCTATGGATTTCTTACTATGTCTTTCTCGTTACGATTATTAGTATGATTTATTGTAAATACTAAATGCATTACCTTAGGCATTTTCTCTGTCTTCAGTGAATCTGAGCCTCTAAAAAGGGATGCTTTTTAAGTAACAGATTAATCTTTTGGAACTTGTACTCTTGCACATATGATCTTAGGTACAGGTTAAACCCAGGTTTGACTCTCCAGTTGGACTAGATGATCTCTTGAGGTCCCTTCCAGCCTTACTGTACCTTTCTATGAAGTTCAGTACCTCTACTGGAGCTCTTGGCAGTGTTTCACCTCATAATTCTTATTTTTGTCCTTTACACAAATTAGAGTTTAACTCTGCTATGTTATTTTCCTAATTTTATTCAGGCTCTGGTGGAGAGGCCAGCTCCCAAGTGCTCACTCTGAAGCAGTTGTATGAATGGGTTTATCTACTGTTTTTTTTTTTTTTGTTACTATTTCCAGAAGTGATTTGGTCTTATGTGAAAAACATTTAACTGTTGAAGACATAGTACAGCTGCAATGAATAAAATGAGCTGTTTTAAAAGGAAAAATAAATGTCAGAAACACTTCTGCCATATACTGTAAATCCATCATTCTTTTTAACAGTATTAAACGCAGGATCTTTGGCTTTTTGCAGGATCTTTGGGTTTTTTTTCCTTTTCTTTGTTCTTTACCTGGTTTCATGATCTGCAAAGTAATGGATATTGACTTCAAATTATTTGCAACAAGATCAAATGAACTTGAAAAACAAGTGCTTGACCAATCAAATGATTGATAAAATGTTGAAATTAGACTCTGATAAAGAGAATTATTTTATGCATGAGTATTTACTTTACATTGTATTGCTTCAGATTTTTTTCAGACATGAAATGCTTACAGTCAGTAATATTGGGATTAGGAATCAATTTTACTTTTTGCCCCATAGTGTCAAAATCTACATGATTCAGAACATTTGACCTGGCTTATTGTGAATCATGTTCAAGATCTGATTAATCTATCTCATGAGCCTCCAGTACAAGACTTTATTAGTGCTGTTCACAGGAATTCGGCTGCCAGTGGTCTTTTTATCCAGGCTATTCAGTCTCGGTGTGAGAACCTCGCAACTGTAAGTCTGATTTGACCCCCCCCCCTTAATAATGTCATAGTTAACAAGAACAAACTATATTTGAAAAACATGTACAAGACCCAGAAATGAAAATGTAATCAACTCCCATGTAATCTTATTCTGGAAGTGTTTATACAAAGAACATAGATTACGTATTTGTCTCAGCAGTTTTTATATTACATGTGCTCACTTTAACAAAGGTGAACCCCACCCCCCCCGAATTTCTGCTCCTATAATTTGAACAAGGAATTAGTCAAATTGTGCTCCTTTCTGTGCATCATTACAAGTAATAATGTTACAGAGTGAAATTTAATTCCTCAGTTTGTTTGTTCTGTTTTCTTTGCTGTTTTACTCAGTGGCTCTGGTTCTAACAGATGGCAAATTAGGTAACAGTTCTGCTGCTGCTTCCTAAGGAAGAATAGGTTCCAGTTCACTTCCATGTGAACCCTGACAAGGCTAACGAGCAATAAAAATCCATATTTTGGCTCATGCTGTCTTCTACAACTTATTAATGGGCTGTGCTTTCTTGCAGATTTCTGAGCAGTCTTTCCATAGCAACTTGCTCCTGATTCCTTTGAAAAACATAATTATCTAAGTCCAATCAGAAGCATGGGGTGGTTGCTATAAAGTGGAGGGTTGGTGTGCATGTGTTTTTGAAAGTGGACAGAGCTAAATAATCCTAAATTAGACTTTTTAGTTTTTCTTTTTTTAAGAAAAAGCTTTATTATTCATATTTCTTTTTCAAAAGTAAGGTAGCTAGGCTTTAATTTACAAGTGCTTGAATGGATTTTCACAAACTGCTCACAAAGCAAAATAGTTATCTTGTACTTCTGTCCCCTTATGCAGATATCAGGTACTGAGGTTCTGAAATATTCTTTCTGCTCTTAATTACTGCTATAATCCCCTTCACTTCTGTTCTCACTTGACCTTCCCGTCCCCTCTACTGCTAAATATGCACAGTCTGTTATATGTTAAACACAACTGAATTTTGTAAGATGCTGCTTTTTTTTACTGTCTCGCTCATTTAAAATGTATCACTTTCAAAGTTATCTGTCACTCAAAACTCTCTACCTTTCTTTTTCTATAACTACATTGAAGTCTGGACTTCTAATCTCATAATTTGCTCATTCAGCACTTCAGACTGCACATTTGTAGTAGAAACATAAGGTTGTAGGCACAGTTGAAGTAGCACAATTATTGTTCAACAAGTACTGTCCTTTTTACTTTCTAAAAATTTAAAAAATAAAATAAACCTAAGAGATTATATCATTTTTCAAATAATCTATTAATAAGTATGACATTTGCTTATTTATCTACTACACTTGATTTATAACATTTATTCGTTAAGCCTGTGAGCTCATAAAGATAGAAACCCAGTTCCTTGATTAGCACAGTCCATTTTTTTTGTTCCAATACCTTTTTGTTTATACTTTAACACAGCTGCATGTTAAAACCGATTTAACTGTGTTGTTTCATTATTTAGCCAACAACTCTAAAGAAGACCCTGCAATGTCTGGAGGGGATTCATCTCAGCCAATCTGGTGCTGTCTTAATGTTGTATGTGGATAAGCTTTTATGTACTCCATTTCGTGTGCTGGCTCGCATGGTTGACACGCTTGCTTGTCGTCGAGTAGAAATGCTGTTGGCTGCAACTTTACAGGTGGGGAAAATAAGCAAATATATTTGTCTTTAAACTAGACTTGCTAATATTAGCAATTTGAATGTAATTTTTAATGAAACCATGTTTTTAATGACTTGCCTGAAAAATCCGTATTTCTCATTTAGAGTACGTGTATATGGCATGTGATTGAGACCATGGACAGGCATTACATTTATATTGGGAAAACGGCCTTTTTCCCAGCACACGCACACAGAGTGTACAGGTGTTTAAAAGGGTTTTTGAAGGAAGAAAACCAGCTCTTTCAAGTTGAAGATAGTACCACCGACAGTTCCTCTGAAGAGAGAAGTTTTCTAGTGCCACTTGTAATGATGATGTGTTTCTCTGGCACTCGGGGTCCTGTGCACCCCCAGTATCCCACGATCCTACATCCTCCCTTCAGTGGGGAGGGAAGAAGGGAGAACACTGGCTCCCTGATGGCCCACTCAGTGGTGAAATGTCAGGGAGCCCTGCTGGCACCCTACTGCAGTGCTTGAATAGTGCCCAGCTGATTCCTGCTCTTCAAACACATGCAGAGAGTTGTGAGACTTGTTCACACAACTGTCAGTGTCCCCTGCCCCTTCAACTGACCTGGGTCTCTTCAGGTCTCTGCAAGGGGGAGAAGGCATTTCTTTGTAGCTTGCCTGGGTTCTCCCTGGCATGGTTAAAGTTGCCAGCACCACTGTGCTAGCCAGGTTTTTGCAAGATTTGGCTGGGGCACAGGCCTCCCTAGAGGGCAGCACAGTGTGCCTGGGCCTGGGTTGCAGGCAGGGGTGTGTCCAGGAGTTGCCTCCCTGCTGGGTCCTGTTGATCATCTGATCAGTGGGACTGGGGTAGGGGGAACGGCTGTTTTTGGGAGTCAGGGGGTTCTTGAATTGTCCTAAAGTGTTCTCCTGTAGCTTGAATCATTCCAGGGAGACCTAGGACCATGCAAGGGGTGGGAGGAATTCCTGGGAGTGGGGAGGGGGCTGGTGAGGAGAGTGGCTTTTCTTACCCCTGCCATCCTTGGCAGCTGCTGCCAGCTGATCACTGGTAGCCTGCCCCTCCCCTCACAGAGGAGAGGGCAGACTGTCATAGATTCAGCTCTGCTATGGGTAGGGGGGAAATGAGCATTCTTCTGTTGCCCCCTGGTTGGAGGGCTCAAGTTGCATAGTGAACCCCTTTCTTGCTATGTTTTTGTGGCGCTAATTTTTTGGTGCTTAGGTTGATTGGCTATCCCTACTGGGGGATTTGACTACACTCTTTGGTACAGGTTGTGTTCTTTAATATGTACATATGTTATTTCTCTGTTTTAAAATAGGTATGACTGTTGTTTATTTTGTTGTCTTCTGTTGCATTGTCACTGTTTCCTACAGAATAGTGTTGCTCAGTTACCAGTTGAAGAACTGGATAGAATTCAAGAATACCTTCAAAACAGTGGATTAGGAGCAAGGTAAGATGTTAATAGGTTGCTGTTATTGTAACGAATAAATGCATACTATGCTTCACATCTTCAACTAGAGTGCTTCACCTCTCAAAAGTTAGTTTTACAATATGGGTAAACTTAGGAGAACTGAAGCAGCCAAGGTAGTGTTAAGATCTCAAAGGATCTTTTTTGCTGGTGTTTTACTTGGGGAAGGGGAAGAAGTGCTAGTATAAAATCATCCCCTAAACCCTAAGTTCTTAAGTGATTCTTACATTTCCTAGAGTACTTAAAGGGCTTAATAGGTCAATCCACATCTTTTTTTTTTGGTTTTGTTTGTTTTAACCAGTCAGTCATGTTTCAACTTGCATACATTAATCTTCCAACTGTACTACAGTTCGGAGGACCGACCTAAATTGCAGTGGAAGTTCATGGTGCAGCAATACCTTTAATCTCACACTCTTTGCTGTGCACCCCCATGCTGAGTGGCCAAGGGGCAATTAATGCTGTAGTTTTTGCCTCTTGGCCCTTCAGCGCTGGGATAGGGGAGGGGGACATTCAATAAAAAGAGGAAGATTAAAGGCCACCACTGTGCCACAAACTTCTGCTGTGATTTTAGGTAGGTTCCAGATTATAATATGTTTATATGGGAGGATACAAATTGCCTGCTTGTGCTTTGGCCGTGGAAAAACCAGGAGCTGGATTCACTCCTGCACCACTGCTAGTTGGGGCATTAACTTCAACGGAAAGCAGGCTGGGAGAAGAATCTAAGATCTGGGGCTGTAAGGGCTCAGTACGAAGAATACTCACCTCCATTACTAAGGCTAAACTTAGTTGTTTTAAATTAATTTTTCCCTGTACCTTGTGGTGCAACTTGAAAGAATAACAACAAAGTTACAGGCTAGATTGATTTACAGTCATGATTTACAATATTGTAGTCATGTAAAGTCATGATTTGACAATTGGTATCTTCAAGTGGAAAACCTGAATTTAAATGGAGCTAAAACTTGCTTTTTCCTTTTGTGCTTTGTAGTTACCTGTTGTTTACCTGCGTTATTGGAGGGTCATCTTTAAATTTAATGTCCCACTCCCAGCCCCCAGTTGCTTCTCCCTACTGCTGCTTTCCCAGTTCAGCAGCTCTGGTTCCTGCTTTGGCTTAGGGTATAGAGCACACTGTCTCAGGCCTTGTCCAGGCAGTAGTGGTAGTGGTACCTCCCCAGCAGCTCTCCCTGGACCACACATGGCATAGTCTGCCCTGTGCCTCCCCCCTCCCTCTCTCCCTTTACACTTACCACATGATCTCCCCTGCACTGCCCCTGCCTCCCAGCCATCCCACACCACACGGTTTCTACCATACTCACCACCCTGCCCCTGCACTGCAGGGTCCTCCCCTGGGTTGGAGCCAGAGCCATAGCTCTGTTCCAGATTGGTACTCAAACCTAAAGTGAAGTTTATTTTTCCCCCGATTGTTGATCTCTTGGATTCAGGTAAATATGGTAATTTCCTAAGGAAAGGCTTTTGTAAGGTTTTTAAAATTTATTGGTAATCATGTAAGACATTGCTTTGCAGCCATGTCTCATCTTTCTAATAAATTTTAAACAGCTTTTTTACTAACTAGGAAGAAATGCTACACGCACAAAGTTGCACAATATGTATTCAAATTCTTAATTTTTACAGTTTGTAAAAATTAAGAAATTACTATGATTTTTACAAAGGAAAAATTGTTAGAAAATAGTGATTGATGGGTAAGCTGTCTGCAATGGAGATGTAATGGAGACTTCCAGTACTTAAGTAGTTTCTGCATTAAGTTTCTTTCAGTCAGTCTTTCTTGGCAACTGCAGATCCAAAGATAATTTTCTACCAAAAGGCATGGCTTTTCAGAGTGTTTGCTGTTGTATCTTCCAGTGTTGGTATACACACGCATCCATTTGAAGTGAGAATTCTTTTGGCTACCGGTATCTGGAGCTTGCACCTGTGCTTTGACTATCTTTGCACCTACAGGGGCCATTGAGTTGTCTCTACCCTCATTTGCTTTCTGGGGTGTATGGAGTTAGAACCTGCAGTATCTATGCCTCTATGGTGGTTGTATGGTTTATCCATTAATTTGTTCATCTGTTTTTTATACATAAGGTTTTAGCAGCTAGCTGGATATTAGTAGGAGCTTTCATTTGGATAAAAGGAAAAGAGCACTATAATAAGAAGGATTCATGTCTGCTTTTTGCCTGAGGAGTTTGCTAGAGTACCAGAATCAGTCACTGATTGAACACAAGCCTTCAAGCTTTAAAAACTACCTTTCATATAAAGGAGTAGTACCTTTTAATGATTGGCATACTGAGTGTATTTACTGAGTTATGGGTAAGGAGCATCTAATAAGCATGCAATAATTTGGAGTTCTCTTTCTAAAAGGATACTTTGAGGAGAAATCTGAACACTCTTCAAAATATGTCTTCTGGTTCTTCTGCTTGGGAGTAGATAACTTCTAAAGAGTCATGTTCATTATACAGTAAAAATTTGGGACAGGAAATTTGGATCTCTAGCTAATGAGATGATAGAAAGTTAGGGTTGGAAGGGACCTTAGGAGGTCATCTAATCCAAACCCCTGCTCAAAGCAGGACCATCCTCAACTAGATCATCCCAGCCAAGGCTTTGTCTAGCCAGATCTTTAAAATGTCCAAGGATAGAGATTCCACAGCCTCTCTGGGTAACCTGTGTCAGTGTTTTCTTGCCCTTCTAGTGAGAAAATTCTTCCTAATATCTAACCTGAACTTGAGACTGTTGCTCCTTTTTCTGTCGTCTGCCACCATTGAGAACAGTGTAGCTCCATCTTCTTCAGGTAGTTGAAGGCTGTTATTAAATCCTCTCTGTCGTCTTTTCTATAGACTAAAAAAGCCCAGTTCCCTCACCCTGTCTTCATACATTATATGCCTAGCCCCCTAACCGTTTTGTTGCCCTCCACTTCTTTTCTGTAGTGGGGAGCCCAAAACTGAACACATACTCTACAGTGGCTTCTCCAGTGTTCAGTAGAGGGGAATAATTAGTTCCCTTGATTTCCTGGCAACACTCCTGTCAGTGCAGCCCAGCATGCTGTTAGTCTTCTTGGCAACAAGGGCACACTGTTGGCTCATATTCAGCTTCTTTTCCACAGTAACCCCCAGGTCCATTTTTGCAGAGCTGCTGCCCAGCCTGTCAGCCTGTACTGATGCATGGGATTTTCCTTCCTAAGTGCAGGACTTTTCACTTGTCCTTGTTGAACCTTATGAAATTCCTTTTGGCCCAATCCTCCAATTTATCTAGGTCACTCTGAATCCTAGCCCTACCCTGTAGCTTGTCTACTACTCCCCCCAGCTTGGTGTCATCTGCAGACTTGCTGAGGGTGCGCTCTGTGCCATCTTACAGGTCATTGATGAAGATATTGAACAACACCGGCCCCAAGACTGACCCCTGGGGCACTATACTTGATACCAGTTGTCAACTAGACATTGAGCCATTGACTACTACCCTCTGAGCCTGATGCTCCAGTCAGTTTTCTATCCACCTTACAGTCCATTCATCCAACCCATATTGGTTTATCTTATTTATAGAACATATTATTTTTAAAAATTGCAACCAGACTACAGTATGTAATGCAGAATTAACTTAGACTTCCATGTACTTTAACTTTCAGTTAAGTGCACCTGTCCATCTTGTAGAGATAATTGAGTTTAAAAGTAATACTAAAATGTTAGACTAAATTTAAACTTCCTTGGAACATCACCAGTATGACATGTTGAATTGACAGTCTCTCGCTCATTTTTATATACTGAAAATTGAAAGTGTATGTTTATTTCCTAGATATACATGTAAATAAAATTGTATACATGATGATTATGAGCACAGGATATTCTGACTTCTGTATCTATTTTCAGACACCAAAGACTTTACTCGCTATTGGATAGGTTTCGTCTTACAGTAGCACCAGAAACAAATAGTCCCTCACCCTTGGTTACTCTTCACCCACTGGATGGGGAAAACCGACCAGCCCTAGAGAATCTAACTCCAGACAAAGTAAGGCTTTATCTAGCATGCTTTATATGGAAAATTTCTAATGAGTTAAGCTTTTTAATACTCTGTTACCACTCTTTATTTGATTTAGGGATGTGAAAGGTTAAAGGATTAATCATTTAACCGATAAGTGCAGTGATAGCCAGTTAGCTTACCGGTTATCATTTGGCTCAGGGCTGGCGCAGTCTGGCAGGGAAGTGGGGAAGGGAAACCCCATGGTGCTCCAGCAGGAATCCAAGGCAGCAGGTTAGGTAGTCTGGAGGAGTGAGGGGGAACTAGTACCCATAGCCTAAGAGGAGAACAGGGAACAGCCTAATGACTCATCAATTAAGCAGTTAGCTGCTGGTTCGCAACCTGGGTGCAAACCCCCTCCCAGCTCAGGGCTTCACCTGGGCTGTGTTGTCTTGCTGGGCTTGCCACTTCCTCCCTTGCTCCAGTCAAAGGACCCCAGGAACATCTCCCAGAAGGAGCTGTGTTCAAGTTTTTGTTATCAGTTAACCAATATAATTAGAGGTGGGTAAACATGTTTTTGTTTTTTTGTCGTTTTTTAAACATTTGCATTTATTTACCAGATCAAATTAGCAATGTCAGTACCCTGTTAGGCCCTATAGTTGAACAAGCATACCTACACACACATTTCTGTCTTCCTGTGGTGATTATATAATATGTAGCATTTTGTTGAGTACGCTTAAGTTTCTCGTTCTGTAGAATGAATAAAGATGCATGTTATACCTGGAAATGTTGTTTTGTTCCTTTGTAGTGCACTGGTTTTTTCTGATGTGTCCATTTGCCAGTTCAAAATTACTGGGTGGCTTTCTAGGTGGCATACTCTTGACATGTTTCTACCCTGGTAAAAAGAAAAGGTGGCTGGTGCCATAGCTGCTAGAACTTTTGGGGCTGGTACACAGCCCTGATCACCGGTGGCTCAGCTGCAGCAGGCCCTCAGGGTGCTCATGGCTGCAACAGGCAGAATCTCTGGTGGCACCCAGCTCCAGCTGAGTCTTGGCGGTTGTGTGAGGCAGCACGGAGCCAGCCCAGCCCAGCCCGGCATGCACCTTCAATCCAGACTGGGCTGGCTCCGTGGCAGTATGTGGGACTCACAGTGTTGCAGGCGGGAGCTGTGTGTCATTGGGGGGCCAGCTCTGTGCCTCCACGTGGGACTTTCAGCACTCCAGCGGGCTGCTGAGTGTGGAGGTATGGAATAGTGCGCCATTGGGCTGAGTGGGTTCTGTGCCTCCATGCTGGAAGCCCCACATGGAGGCACACAGTCTGCCTGGCCTGGCCTCATGGTGTGCAAACCGGGAGCCACACGCCATTGGGCCAGGCTGGCTCTATGCCTTCACGTGTGGCTTCCTGCTGGAGTGCTGGAAGCTTCGCATGGAAGCATAGAGGTGGCTGG